TGCCAGTTTGGAGCAGCAACACTGCCTATCTTGGAGTTGAAACTGCAACTCTAATGAACAATGGGAATTTGGTTCTTATAGGTATTGGAGATAGAGTCATCTGGGAGAGTTTTAACAGTCCTACAGATACTCTTCTTCCGGGGCAGTCTCTCTCATTCCCTCTCTCTCTACAGCCCTCATCCTCAGGCTCCACCGCTAGCTACTATAGTTTTCAGATTAATAAGAAATCTGGCGACATCTCGCTTGTTTGGGAGGACAATGTGACGTATTGGAGCAGTCATTTGAGCCAGCCTGTGGATGTTGCAGAAGTTCGTCTCGAAGCGGATGGGCTGCTGGGGCTTTTTGATGTCAGTGGAGGTCTTGCTTGGTTTTGTTACAGTGAGGATTATAAAGATCCATTTGTGTCTTTCAGGCGCTTGAGGATTGATGCTGATGGCAATCTGAGAATATATTCATGGAACAATGCTTCATCTTCTTGGAAGGTTGCCTGGCAGGCTGTGCCAAGTCAGTGCCATGTTTTTGGCTCCTGTGGATTATATCATGTTTGTGGTTATAATTCTTCTGGACCTTCTTGTGTGTGCTTGCTTCAGGATTCCACTTCTGGTGATTGTCAAAAACTTGCAGATTTAGGAAATTGCAACACAGGAATTAGTATGCTGGTTCTCAAACAAACATTTTTATACAGCCTTTATCCTCCTCATGACGTCAACATAATGCTGAGCTTAGATGCTTGCAGAAGTTACTGCTTAAACGACAGTAGTTGTCTTGCTGTGACTGCTAAAAATGATGGCTCGGGACTCTGCACCATTAAAAGAACCAGCTTTATAAGTGGTTACCGCTACTCCTCTGTACCAGCCACTTCTTTCCTGAAGGTCTGCCTTGTCCCAGAAGCGGTGTCTGCTCAAGCTACTAATTTGCATGGAAACTCATCATTGCTAGATGGGAAGCAACATGTAGATCAAATAGTTGGACAGAAGAGTTTTATGGTTGGTATTGTAGTACTTCTTCTAATCACAGCTTCTGTCTTTTTCACTGTGGAGATAATTATAGTTGGGTTTGTTCTCTATAGAAGAAGACAAACTAACATTGAAAGGAGAACACCATTTGGGATGGATTTTGGATTGAATCCACACTACAGTGCCATGGTTAGATTATCACTCGACGAAGTGAAAGAGTTGACTAAGAATTTTGGAAATAAGCTTGGGCCGAGCGTGTATAGAGGCATGCTGCCTAACAAGATACCAGTGGCTGTAAAAGTCATTGGCAATGCAGTAGTTTCTGAGCGAGATTTTTTGCTGTCTGTCTCAACTTTGGGCAGCACTCACCACAAAAACCTCGTCTCGTTAAAAGGTTTCTGTTACGAACATG